CCTTGGGTTTGTCAATTCTGATCGGCGTGAGGCACAAATNTTTGCGACTTAATTCTAGCACTTACTACTTATTCTCGATTTGTACCGGGCGGCAGCAACTTTGAAGCAACAGAAGGGCGGCGGCAGCGGTGTCGAGCGAGCTCCAACAAATCCACAACACAATTGTTTTTTGTCACTACTTTGGCTCGCGTAAGACCGCACTTTGGAGAACTTCGTTTACTTCTGATGACTAAGAGCTCTGCGGGGCTCTTTTTATACCCGTGAATCGGGAAATTCGGGATCGCCCGATTTCTCGTTATCCGTCGGATTTCCCTTGATTTCTTATCCCCGGGATGTATATTTCCGTTTACAATTAAAAACGAAAAAGAAAAAAAACAGAAATTTTCCAAACTCTGTGATTCTTAATTCTATCAAGAATTGATATCCGGTCTCGCGCCAGTATCGCGCGGCTGCGTTCCCGTGATATCATATCTTGTTGTTGTCACGTCGCGAGGAGGAAGTGGAGTCCACGGGACGTAACAGTAATATTAATTTACTACCTTTTGACCACCTACACCTGTTGATCACGGCTTATATGTCCTTTATTATTTTAAAAATATATATATCTATAATAAATTAAATAAATAAATATATATATATCTTTATAGAAAGAGAGAGAGAGAGAGAGAGAGATTGTAATAAAACTTAAAAAAATGTTTTTGTAATAAAACTTAAAAAAAAGACTTAAAAATGAACTAGAAAGAAAGAGAGAAAGAGAAAGAAAAAGAAATCTATAATAAAATCAATCATTATACTTGTTTTTGTAATAAAACTTAAAAAAAAATACTTAAAAATGAACTATTAATTATTACTGGAGCATTAAGAAACGAACAGACGTAAAAATACTAAACAATAAAAATTTCACATATCTCTATTTTAATGACGTCCGATGAGACACGGTAGTTCCAAACAAAGAAACGCGAGTTCGAGTACATAATTATTATAAATCTCCAAACAATTTTGTAGCCTGCGCATTATGCGTAAAAAACCGCAAAGCCGAGCAGTTGAAAACTGCCATTAGTCGTCCGACAAAGATATATATATATAGCGATATATTGATGCGTACAAAATTGCCGGGAAAAAGAATTTGCACATTCGCCGGAGCGTAACTTGCACTTTCCTCGACGATAAACGAGGCATCGAAAACCTAGGAAGTCGTTCTCCGGCCGATATTTTCACGGTCATGATAGATGACGCATCTTAGTTTCGCACGCTAATACGACAGACAAACGCAACTTAATAAAAAAATCAAGGAAGAGTATTTCATTTTTGATTGGCGACGACGCGCCTAATGTCACGATTGCACTGCTCGAAATATTCGGGCACATAGTGGGCCATGTCTGACGGTTACTGTTATTTTTAAGTGGGTTAACAACGGCATCGGTACAGCTGCTCGTCAAAGCTGTCCTTTAAACGCGTGAGAAATAATAACAAACCTCGTCTCTGAGTCGAGACACACACACACACACGCGCATACATAGTATCGAATCGAAATCAACGGACTGGTTCAAATTCTTTCTGAAGGAAATTGCTCACAGTGGAATCTGTGCTAAGAAGTTTCTCCTCGAGAAGCTTCGAATATTTTATTTGGATAACAAAAAAAAAAAAAAAAAAAGGAAAAAAAAAAAGAAACAAAACTACGTTTTGACTTAATTTTCTTCGAGAGTTGCAAAAAGCAAACAAGAGAAATGAAATCAGTGTTTAATTTAAAATTTATTTCAGTCTCGATTGATAAATCAACGTCTCGACAATTTGACAAATGACGTCGAGGAATCCATTAGACAATTCGCGTCGAGAAACAAGTCGCGCGCGCGATTTTGTGAATCACCGTGTCATATTGTTCGGAATTGAAATTGTTGAGAAAAGGTCTGAAACGTTGTGTTGAGTTGTTCGGAAGATACAAAGTGTTTTTTAAATGAAATTTAAAAGCTAAAACTCGCGTAATTTAGCTTTTGCAAAATGCTCGCGCATTTTCGATGATTTTAGTACTTGCGCAACCGTCTCGCGTAATACGTATGCGAGCTGTTTTTTCAATTAGTGATTTTGTCTTCTTCGATGACGGAAGGCCGCTATGAACTCTCCGAACAACTCAATAGGAACGTGAATTGCAGCAGGCGAGACGGAAACGTTTAGTGTAAATTATGCGAGAGATGAATTACATGGTACTTCCACGCACGACGAAGCACGTGTGTGTCAAGGCTGCACGTGTCATGTTTCTAGCACGAGATGCGTTTAATGCTTGCGGCATTTTTTGTTTTGTTTTTTGTATATTTTATTTTACGAACTTAATTTCCACCATAAAAGAGAATTATGTTCTCAATAACCACGAAACAGGGCAGATGCGAGCCAAAAAATCATAAAACGTACGTGTGAGTTGATTATACTGCCCTGATACTCTGTTTCATCTTCTCACGAGCTTATCCATTGGCTGTGTTGTATGTGACCTATGTTACACACACATAGACTACAGCATCCATCATGCGTTTCAACATCGTTATAGCACATATCTACAGTAAATATCTCAACGCATCTTCGTCTTAATTATCGGTTAACGATTCTCTCGGATCATTTTCGTCTTATTTTTCTTCCGCAACGAGAAAGTCGAAAGGAAATGTAGACCAAAGTTCGTCCTGTCACTTCGCAACTACGTGTGCTACGTGTGTGTGTGTGTGTTTCACGCTGCTTCGTAGTTTCATTTAAATTTCACGAAGCTCCAGTAACTGGTCGTTCATTGAATTGGACGCTACAGTGGGTCAGTGGGATCAGTTTCGGCGAAAGTTGCAGACGCAATCGCGTCTACCGCGTGGCAAATCGCGTGCTGCGGCTGCCGCTGCACTTCCGGATATGCCCCTCTTTTCGTATTTCTTCTGTTCCGTTTCTTTCCTTTAATCTTGATTGTCAAAGCGAAAAATGAAAAAT